TGGTCTACATAAACCTCTAAACATGTATTATGTTACAGTGTACTTTTAAGATTACAGCTGATCTAATATGTAAGCTATATGTTGACTGAAGATAGACCTGCTTATTTGTGAAAGTGGACTCGTCCTACCTCTATTAGTTTTATTTTCCTCATGCAGAGATGTTATGCCTTTATGTTGTTATTTTATTATTGTAGTGTTCTAAAGAGTACTTTCAGTGCATACTTTCGTTACACAACAGAACTCATAAAAAAACCCTAATCAAGTAGTTCGCTAATTGATCCCATAGTCAAACAGGTAATTACTAAGAATCTTCATCCATAACTTCATCAGTAATTGTGTGCAGGGAGAATTCAAGTCAGGCATCTAGAATGAAAATATTGGGAGAGTCTTACTAAATGAAATGAAGCTGCTTTTCAAGGTGACTTCTCTAAAATGTTTACCTTCATTTTGATCAAGCAAAATAAGTATATTTGAACCTTTATTTTAGTATTAAGAGTACAAACAATTTATCATGGCTCTGCAGCCACTGGGCTCTTGCTTCAGAAAGTGGATCCAAGATAATATTGTCAGCTCCATGTAGTCCCTCTCTCATTGATCCCTTTCTCCTTATGCTTTATTTTTTCAAATATATTCTCATTTGTGCCAAGGAATAATTTGATTTTAACTGTATACTGTATTACATTTTGCTTATGAGATACTGTAGTTCACAATGTATACCTTGTGATAGGTTGTGAAATAAAGAAAGCTACTGTGCTTCATAATTTTGATATTATCCTCGGTAAAACATAAAGAATATAAAATCAGTTTCCTGAAAACTGTAATCATTTAGTTTACATTAACCTTGGTTAGAAGGGGGGACTTTATAAGGACACCAACTTTGCTTTTCTGTACAAGAATGAACAGGTGACAAATATGTGAAGCAGAATTGTTGTAGCTAGGTTAAATTATCGTATTTTACTAAAAAAGATTGAAATAAGTAAAAAATAATTTTTGATCTACCTAAAATAAACTGTCTGTCTGTCTGTCTGTCTGTCTGTCTGTCTGTCTGTCTATCTATCTATCTATCTATCTATCTATCTATCTATCTATCTATCTATCTATCTATCTATCTTAATATCAAAAGCCCAAAGGAAAATTATCCATGCCATCACAAAAGAACTTTGATAGGGAGAAAGCTTAATGAGAAATAAAACTCACTGGGTGGCAACCTATGCCAATGTCAGAGAGTCTGTCCCGCCATTCAGTCCCAACATTTGTGGCATCTGTAGCCAAGAGTGATGATGACAAAATAGCAGCTGCTGAGTGACATCATGCAAATGTCACACTTACATTCTTGCATTGGGATGTCTAATACAAGTATCACATTGTGATATTTGTGTGATGTCATTACACACCTGTCACCTTATGCTCTCTCTCCCCCTTGCCCCTCCATAGATGCTCATGCCCATTCTCCAATTTTTGGAAGACAAGTTGCCGGGTTGTCTGTAACAATCCTACAAGGAGCAGGAAATATCCATGGAATCTGAAAAGTGTTTTGCAGCCATCTGATTTGGTTTGCTAATCAAAGTGCACCCTTGCTTTGATTTTGGAATCAGCTTCAGTGCAGTGATTTAATTGAAGCTTCAAATCCAAGGGCCACTTCAGAGCTTTGCGCAGACTTACAGGACTAACCACAACAGCAAAGATCATGAACTGCTCTCCAGTATATTCCCGGCATGAAAACATGTGTAGTGCTTCTATATTTAATATAAAATCAGGAAGAATCTTCACTCTTATTCATTTGTTCGTTCGGTTTGTAACCTACTTTTTAATCTAGTTCAGTACAGAAGGTGGGTCACAGAATACAAAACTGAAAAACAGAAATTGAAGATCCCGAAAAATAGCTCCAGAAGGGAGCACAGTCCATAGCTTGTGAATGAAGCTCTAATCTGCAGAACCAAAAAAGAAAACTGTGTTCATGTACTAATGAACACAGAGATATGTCACATATAATGTGAAATGGGTTTAATTTTGCTTTCACATGTAGAAGGTATTTTGGAGACTGTTTTCCATTCTCTAGACTTTTTATGTAGCCTTTCTCTTCAAACATAGCTGCTCTAATTAATTTTGGTCTCAGTAGAATCCTGTCTTAAAATCTGCTGCTGATTTTTTGTTTGGCTCTTGTTTTACAGGATGTTTGACGTTGGAGGCCAAAGATCAGAACGTAAAAAATGGATTCATTGCTTTGAGGGGGTTACAGCTATAATTTTTTGTGTGGCACTTAGTGATTATGATTTGGTCCTTGCAGAAGATGAAGAAATGGCAAGTAAACCCTTTTTTTTTTTTTTAATCCTCTCATCTACAGTTTGCCTAGGAAGACATCCCTTTGGTTATTTATTTATTTACTTATTAAATTTATATGCCGCCCGACTCCAGGCGACTACGGACAGTTACAAATCGTTAAAACCATTAAAACCAAAAATCAACACAAAACAAAAAAGAGCAAAGATGACAGAGATAACAAACCCAGATGAGAATAAAGAAAACGAAGAAAAGGCAGTTCCAGTCATGCTCACCAAAGGCTTGGGCAAAGAGCCAGGCGTTCAGGGCCCTTCAAAACACCAGTGTGGGGGGGTGCATTTGGAGCTCTGAGGGAACCTCCTTCCAGAGGCAGGTGCTGCTACAGAGAAGGTGCATTTCTGGGGTCCCGAAAGATGGCATGGCTTAATGGCTGGAACCCTGAGCATGCCAACCCTGCTTAGATTGAACTGGCTGGGCAGATATTGTGGAAGACTAGCAGTAACCAGGCCACCCTGAGATGTGTTGATGCTTAAAAGATCATCTGCTGTATGTTCATAATCATCAAATTGCTTGAAAATTTTATTTTCAGTTCTTGTATTTGACTGGATTTTGGCCATGATTTGTAGAGCTTCATTTCTAAAATGTTAAAGTAAAATTCAGTGAGTGGTTAATAGAACAGTTTAAGTTGTGAAAGCGTGCGTCTTCCATATGCTTCCCTGGCTTACATATATTATGAGTCCATTCTTGCTTCTATGCTTTGAAAATTAGAGTAAAATCTGAAATATATTTATATCTCACTTTTCCTCAGAAAATCTGGGCTATAACACTCCATCATCCAGTTTTCCCAGCAAAACCAATCCAATGGAATAAATTGGATTGGGAAATAATAAAGGACCCAACGTTCTTTAAGTTAAGGATTGACTCTAACCCAAGACTCTCCAGTCCTCCGCTCAGCACCTTAACTACTACCCTGGACCTTAGCATCATTGTAGTTGTCAAAGCATTGTAGCTTATCTCTAATAATTTGTCTAAAATGGACAGTCAAATCTACCAGTATGATCCTTCCTGCTCTTGCTTTCCTGTATCAATTTCCTGCCAGGAAAGTTGATTTTGGATAAAATCCAAAACTTTTTTCCACCTAAACATGGGCATAGGGCCTATGTGAAAGAAAGAAAGTCAGGTTTGGTGTAGTGGTTAAGATACTGGATCAGGACCAAGAAGACCTTTGTGCTATTCATGCTAGTTCTCCTTAGGCATAGAAGCCAGTGGGGGTGACTTTCAGCCAGCTGCTTTCTGTCAAATTGTGGAAAGTTGAACAAACATTCTGAAAGAAGGTAATGGCAAACCACTTCCACAGTGTATTAGGTATGTAATTCAAGAGAATATTATCCTCTGAAAGGTTTAGCTTTTGTTGCACAGTCACATTTATATAGTCCACTACTTTCTCCCAAGTATACTTCCCCTACAAGTATAGGACATTGTAAAACATGTTTTAAAGAAGCACTATCCTTGTTACATCTCCAACAAAATGCTTAGTCCTTTTCTATACAAACATAATGGAGTCCAATATATTCTAAAAACTATTTTTTTGTTGTATAAGTCATAGTTCAAGGTGTATTGATACCCTTGCTATAGAAGTTAAAACACTCTCCCATTGTCTAGGCAATATAAAAACCTCTAATTCTTTATTCCACTCATCTCTTAACATCTGCATGTCAAATTGATTTATTGATAACAAATATCTGTAAAAGCTAATAGTAGATTTTTTTTTTTTAGTTTTAAAGGATTTAACAAGTCGTTCTAGTATCTCGGGTGTCTCAGAAGCTGAAAATGCTGCTGGTCCAAACAATGTTGTTAACAAATGTTGTAGCTGTAAATATTGCCATTGGGTTACATCTGACAGATATTTATTTCTTAACATAGCTTATCTTTAAAATTCATCTTCATCATCCGTCAATTGGTCCAAAGTCAATATCCAATTTTTCCATATCACCATCTTTCCCCCAATGTTTAATGTTGGTTTTTCCCATAAAATCAATTTAGTGTGGGAAAAGGGGTTGAATCTTTTTTTTTTATTAGACACTACATTCCATAGCTTTCTAGCTGACAAATTGTTTCCAGACATACTAGAGTTCTGTTGTATTTAGATTATAATACTGTCCAACCAACCAAAGGTGCTATTCTATTCCAATGTTATATATTGTGTGTGTATATTCCAACGTTGCCCAAATTGGAAAATTAACACCAATTGTTGGCTTCCAGTATTTAACATTTGACAATAGGTGGGCTTGATGATAGAGCTCCAGTTTCAGAAACCTGAATCTTCCCTCATTAATTGGTAATTGCATTTTCTGTAAAGATATTCTCAGAATCGAAGAACCCCATAAAAATTTTCTAAACAATGAATTTATTTTCTGAAAATATTTTCCAGATATTTGAACAAGAATTCCTCTCAGAATATAAGTTTATCTGAGAATAATATTCATTTTGAGACCATTCACCTTTCCCCGAAGGTTGAGGTTTAATGACTCCCATCTATCCATATCTGAAGAAACCTCTTTATATTTTTATTTATGTTACATGTTACAAAGTTTTTTGTTTTTTGTTTTTTTTGGTATACACATACCTAAATATTTAATGGATTCGGTACAAATGCAGAACTGATATTTCTTAAATGGATGGGTAACTACATTTTCACCTACTGGCATCAATTCTGATTTGGACCAATTGTAGAATATCCTACTATTTTGCTAAAGACATCTATCGTTTGCATCAACACTGGAATAGTAGTGTGAGATTTAGAAATAAAGAGAAGAATGTCATCTGCAAATAAAACCAATTTGTGTTCACCTGAACTATGTACTACTCCATAGATCTCCCTATGTTGTCTAATAGCACAAGCCAGAGGTTCCACGCAGATATTAAAAAGCAAGGGTGAAAGTTGACATCCTTGTCTAGTTCCCCTAAATAGTGAGAAAGTAGCAGAAAACATGCCATTAACCTTTACTTTAGATGTGGGTGACTCATGATCCAGTTTATGAATTTCAGAGGAAATCTGAACCTGTTTAGTACAGCAAACACTTTATCATAATTGCACTCATTCGAGTATTGAAAACATTCATAAAACATAATAGGAGAATCTAAATTGGGTCCATAAACATTAACAATCTTACATTAACTTTGAAGTATTGATTTCATTGTCTGAAATAAGAAATGTCGCAGATTTTTGTTCTTGTTTGTTTACATAAACTGACTGTTGTTTTCTTGATCTATTTAATTGGGAGTATTTTGAAATTCCTGATATTATTATGTAGAGAAGTAAGGAAGAGTAACCTGATATATTATCTCTTTTTTTTTTCAATTGCAGAATAGGATGCATGAAAGCATGAAATTATTTGATAGTATCTGCAACAATAAGTGGTTTACAGATACCTCTATTATCCTGTTCTTAAATAAAAAGGATCTCTTTGAAGAAAAAATTAAAAGGAGTCCTCTAACTATTTGTTACCCAGAATATCCAGGTATACCTATATATATGTTTTATGCAGAAAAAAAAGGGGGTTGAGGGAATGAGGATAAAAAAGAGAATTGGTGTCCTAGAACTTATAGTAGTGTAGTAGATATTGATTAAAACATTTTCCTCCTAAATAAGAAGTATCTGATAAATTTTGAATGGTATTTATGGAATTATGTACATAGTCTGCATTTCACCTCTCCTATAAAATCATGATATTTTAATCATTGAACATTCTATAAAGTGTTTAACTTGCTAAAGCACTCTTTGTACTTTGCTGTAGCCGACTAACAGTTACTGCACTGAATAGTTCCATGTACAGAAGGAAAAAGCAATTTAAAGAGTATAGTAAATGTACCAATTAAATCATTGGCAACTCAGACCAAGGGCAGGCAGCCAAGGTCCCCATAGGCCTCAAGACTGCACCACTAAAATTTGGTGGCAAAGATTCCATGACTGAATTTCAGCTGCAAGATTTCTCTTCCCTTTTTCTTCCAAAATTAAGATAGGAATGGACATGGGAAGTTCCTTACTTCTAGGTTGAAACTCAACATACAAACATTCGTGGTCCACAATTGCTGGATTTTGATCTGATTTTGGGCTTTTATAGTGTGTTTAAGAGGGGAGCCCTTGATGATGGTTATGGGTCATCAAGTTGGTGTCCACCTCAGTGACTACATAGATTTTCTCTGGGATGAATTCTGGCCCTTTTATTTGTGCTGATGCTGTTACGTCCTTGAAAGATCTTTTATGGTTCACGAGAAGGTTGAGAGGCTATATTTTTGGGTCAAAACTCATCCCTGGCATAAATAAGCGCTTAGAAAAGTTAATAAGAACGCCCTTCCATTTCCTGTGTAAATTTTAATTTTGAAATACTAAAAAGATGTTATTGTTGAGGAATTTAATCCAACCCAATACAAGTCAACCAGAGGGAATTGTAGCAGCAGCAAAATATTTTATTTAACAAATTAAGGATCAGAACAGACTCCTACCATGATGCAAAGAGTTAAGACTAAGACATAGAAAATGTCTTCTCTATTTATATGCTATGGAGTATACTCAGAAATCTAATGTAAGTTATTTAGGGAATGGTTTTCATTATGTTAAATTAGGGAAATCACATATTTTAGTTGTAACTAAACTTAACATTCTTACCTATGCATAAATCATGCAACATCTATTCCAACAGATGTTCTTTGGGTATGTACACTTACCTATCACTGACCTTATTCCAGGCTGAGAACAAAGAATGAGGGATCTATTTGCTTAGTTGTACAGACAATTTTGTTTTCTACAAGGGGAGGAGTGGCTAAGATGGGCACTGAAATCTTTTAGTAAGGCAGACTAAAGTAACTTACTAAATGGCTCTTACGTAAAAAAGATTTTATAAAGACTACTAAAGATTTCATGAAGAAAAATATTTTTTCCTCCACACTATGAACAAGCTAATGCAAATGATGTGGCTAAGATGGGCACTGAAATCTTTTAGTAAGGCAGACTAAAGTAACTTACTAAATGGCTCTTACGTAAAAAAGATTTTATAAAGACTACTAAAGATTTCATGAAGAAAAATATTTTTTCCTCCACACTATGAACAAGCTAATGCAAATGATAGTACATTTGCTACCTATTACAGCAAAGTCTAACAAAATCATTAGTTGTTTGGAGTAGTGGTTAAGGGACCAGGCTAGAAACTGGAAGACCATGAATTCTAGACATGCCTTAGGCACAAAGCCAGCTGGGTAATCTTGGCCAGCCCCTCTCCCTCAGCCCTAGGAAGAAACAACAGCAAACCACTTCCAAAATCTTGCCAAGAAAACTGCAGGGACTTGTCCAGGCAGTTGCCAGGAGTCAATCCTGACTTGAAGGCACCACTATCTTCATCTCCATCTCTCTTAGGGATGTGCAAAGTGGTTGCAATGCACTTCAGCAAAGAGCTTTGCACCATGGAAGTGTTGATTCTCAAGGTGGCATGGAAAGGATGATTTATGCAAACCTCCATCAAAGCCAAACACCATCAAAGCTTTTCCCAGGCCTAGAATTTCTTAAAATGTAACCCCTTGCTGAAAACAACTTCAGCAATTTTCATATCTCAAAAAGAGGATTGTTTCTTTAAAAGTTGTGTGCGTTGGTACTGTTCCAAACTTAAAATGTCTAAATCCACCCTTGTTTTTCTTTTTAGGATCAAATACGTATGAAGAGGCAGCTGCATATATCCAGTGTCAGTTTGAAGATCTAAACAAGAGAAAAGACACAAAAGAAATATATACTCATTTCACATGCGCCACAGATACGAAGAACGTGCAGTTTGTTTTCGATGCTGTAACTGATGTAATCATAAAAAATAATTTGAAAGACTGTGGTTTATTCTAAACATTTACATCCAACTGTACTTTTTTTTTGTTTTGTTTTTTACAAAAACCAAATGTGCTTTTTTAAAAGACCATGAATAATTTCGGGGTTTTTTATTTATTTATTTATTTATAGGATGTATTTTTTGTGGCCTCGGGTTAAAGAATCAGCTCAGAAACTGAGTTCCGCTCGTTGATGTGGTAAACAATGCATTGTGGTGACCAGGCCAGTGTAGTCTTCACTTCTGTAAACCATTTTCCATATGTTTATTGGACAGCTTTGAATAATACTTGGCAACCAGGGGCACCTGCTGTGGAGCATTGTCCAAACAATCCATAGGATTCCCCAGTTGAAGTCCTGGCCCTTTTACATGTGCGAAACATGCATAAAGGGGCCAGGCCTTCATTGTGGCCACCATCTTACTTTTTAAAGCCCTACTGCAGGTGCCTTCTTGGCAACCCTCAAATACCTTGATTGTCCATTTCTTTGTGACCATAAGTGTTTGGTTTATATAAACATTGAACACAATATTTAAATAATTTGTTGCATCTTAGAGAGTGCCCATGTTTTAAAAGCTGTCATTTCTGTACCATAGCAAGATTTTGCTTTTTGGATTGTTAATTACACTTCTAAAAAAAATCCTTATTTTCATATTATGCATGTCGCCTTTTTTCTTAAATTTTATTTATAGATCTGTAATTAGTATTGTAAACTTTTTCTTGCATAAAGGAATCTTTCCACTTGCTCAGGATTAAATAGTAAATGGCCCAACCATTTTCCTAGAATTAGTCTTCTTCAAAACCAGTGTTTAACATTTCAACAATATTTTCTCCCATCTTGTATTCTCCAGTGCCAAATAATTAACAGAAGAAGAGAACTCTGGGTGAGAGCTAAAATGGCATGATATAATCTCTTTCTCTTTCTCCCTGTCTCTCTTTCTCAAGCTGGTCTATGCATTCTAGATGTTCATTTGTCATCCCTGAAACACAAGAGTCAGAATCATTCAAGGTCCAACTGGATTTTGGTCTATTTTGCAGTGGTGGAAAATGGTATCCTCATTGGCTTGCTCCTCCTACCTCCTTCAACAAACAGGGATTGGGCACAGGGCTCTACGATAAAGACTTCCTATCCATCACACGGGGCAGCCTATCAGTGGAGTGCTGGCATGCTTGAAAGAGAATGACAGGAAATTCAGGATATGCCACGGACGTTGTGGCAGCTGTGCTCCCTGTCTCAGTATAAAAAAGGTAACATGCACATTGTTGTTTGTAACCATAGGTTTTAGCAAAACACTTGCACATTGTTAGTTTAGAAAACTCTCCCAAGAGAATCTCAGACAATTGGCAAATGGATTGATGCCTAGTGCCTAAGAAACAGACTCTACCTGCAGTACTCAAGTGTCTTCTCCATTCTCCAAACGTGACTCCATCCTTAGATAAGATGTCCATGTGACTATGAACCCTACTGCAGCAAAGTAAGAGTATTCATCGGGGCACATGAGAATTTAACCCATATAGAGGTGGAAGAACCCCAGAAGCCAAGTCCCTTGATGGTTATCATGGCCAAGTGCCAAATACACTGTAGGGATGAAAAGCATCAGAGACACATCATAATAGTCCTTCCTGTCCACATGACAGGATATTATTCAATTTTTCAGGGGAGAGCCAGGGAGTTGCAACAAATGCCAAGCAGGATACAAATGGACAGGCACAGCCATATATGGATGTTTATTATTCATTTTTTTCGGGGGAAGACCAAGGAGTTGCAACAAGTGCCGAGCATCCTCTTTGGGTACAAATGGAGGGCAGTAAGCCTCCTGACATCAAGAAATTAACTATATCAGACTCTCCCTTCCTCTTCAAAAACAAATGGATATGAATTACACACACACAAACCCCCTATCAAGTTCCATTATTTTTATAGAAGCTGTTAGAACCTCTGAACAGGTAGGCTGAGAAAAGTAAATTCCAAAATCTTTAAAACTACTTTAGAAAAAAAGGCAGGAAACTCTCTAGCCAGAAACAAGGATGTTCCATCTTGGTTGAGAGTTTTCCAGCCTTATTCCTTTGAAGCTGTTAGAACAGGCATTTCCTGGCAATGAGAAGTAAATTGGAGTAAATGGCTTTAGTGGTTCCTAGCATTGCTGCTTCAAAGCTTAGAAGAAGTACAACTCAACCATTCAAATGGTACGCATCTCTTTCCTGTTATCAAGGCCTCAGACAGAAAATACCATAAGTGCTGGGAATTACAATGTGGGAAATCAATAACTTTATTCATTTTTTAGAATGAATTGTAAAAAACTCCCCACCTTAACTATAGTAGGAATTCTACTGGATTCCAACTCAGCCATGTTTGTCTCTGAATGCCTCTTGTACTATTTCACAGGAATCTTACTGATTTCTCTGCCTTTTAAGAGTTATCTTTTTTGTATGGCTGGAGAGTTTAGTCACTTAGGATTTTTTTTATTTTATTTTATGCTCCAAAAGTGGGTGGGTTGTCTCTCTCACAGAGGAAAATTCATCCAGATGAATAAATTCTGCTCTTTGGAGCAATATGTTAAAGAAACCTACATTTAAATGACTTATTACAAAATTTACTATACACTAAGTTAATATTTGTCTTCAGAGAAAGATTTTCCTGGTTGGCTTTTTACCTTGAAGTATAAAAGGTCTTGAAACTAAGATCAAGAGGGAAAACTGAACATTTCAGGGGTCTATTTTTTGCTACTTCACGTCTATGCTTTCATTTCTTTTAAACCTTGCCTTGTGTCACAGTATATTTTTAATGCTTACCTCTTCAGAATAATTTTTCCCCTTGGGTCAAGAAGCACAACATTATAATCAAATCTGCAGAATAGTTTAATCCTCCACCTTTTTCAGGGTAGATGACTCTGAAAAATTATCAGCTCCGTGAAAGAGATTCAAGTGACGCTGATACTAAAAGCCAAGTATTTCCAGCTGTACATGAGGAGATCATGGCATTAGTGTATTGCTGATGAATGCTGGAAATCTTGCATTCATGGAACATTTCACCTATAACCTTGGATTCTGTTTTACTTGGATGACACTGAAGTCTTCTCATCAATACCAGCCCTCCCATTCTTACCTCTTCAAGAATGAGAGATCTGACAAGCAAAAATATTAAACACAGTCCCAAATGTCATGCTGTGTTTTATGTCCTACTGGTATATAAATTACTACATTGAATTGCAATTCTGTTGCACGTTGCCATATTGTAGGGCCAATAAAGGTTGTTTTAATGAAGATGATAATGAATTAAAAGTCTCTATTCCAGTTTCCTTCATTTAATTCTCCTTTATCCCTCTGCCTGATTATTAATATACCTTGATATTTCATATTCAATTATGTTTTATTTTATAAGTTATTTTTAATAATTATTGTCACTCGGTTCAGTTTTTTTTTCTCTTTCCTCCCCATAAATGCTTTGTTAGAAATATTTCAGTCTAATTTTTTTAGCTTCCCTGAAGTTTTCCAGAAGTCTCTCTTTTGTGTTGTGTTTTATTTAAATTTGCTACCAGTTGTTAAATTATCATTTTAAATTAAAATTGTCTGTGCTAGCTTCTCTGCCTCTTCCATCACCTCTTCTGGATGCTAGCCTTTATGGACTTGACAGCAGCAATGATTTTGTGACTTCTTATTCATATACGCTAAGGAAACAACTGCTTTCACAAATTCAGTCAATGCAGATAGCAGAAAATAGCAAGGCCAGTGACTTTATCCTTTATGCTTCTGTATTCACAAAGGGTCATCAACATTGCATATAAATTCTCCCTCTTTTGCACAGATATCCCTCAGTCCATGTTCTGAAATAGTGTCATTAGAGTAGGTGCATATATGTGCATACATAAAATAAATAAATTTGGACTGGGTATTCTCATTTTAGGGACCATTATGATTGAGAACAGAAAGTACTGAAATTTGCAAAAAAAACCCTACCCAGTTGCATTAACTTTTGAATGTCTGTCTATATACTTATTTATCTATCTCATAAAGTTCTAGCTTGTGTGCAAGTTTCATTCCATTAAACTGCAATACAAATGGTGGTAGATTACAGATGTTTGAATTAATCTACATTTTAATGAATTTTATTACTGTTCTGGATTTTGACACAAAACAAGGCCTGCTTGAAATTGTGATGAGAGTGAATTTGGGAGTTTCATTCCATTCAGATGTGAGGAAAGATGGCCCTAGGCAGAATGAGGTCTGTCTAACATCCACCCTTTATCCTCAAAATCTGTACTGAAGAGGAATGGATTTAATTTTCATTGGAAACTGCACAATGTAGCAAGACATTATTTCGTTAAAAAAAAGAAAGAAAGAAAACCCAGGTGCATTTACAGCACCACCACAATACATAAAGTGCCTATATTTCTTAGAATTGTCATGTAATCACAACTGTTACACAACAGTTCCCAGAAACATAGGAAATGTATTATATGACAGTCCCAGGAAATGGAGGAACTGTGTCACATGAACACATCTTGAACAGTTCACAGAAATTCAAGAATCAAAATGCTCTTGAAAGATCTGCTGTTTCTATAAACACACCTGTATTTCTAGTGTTAAAAAGGAAAGTGCCTTTCAGAAATTTGCTAGATCAAAACAATGAAATCCCTAACAATGAAAAGCACAATACAGCAGATAAAACCTGGTCTGCTAATCCAGAAATTGGATTCATTCCAATTCATGAAGCTCTGTATCTATCTGAACCCTACTGTGATTTGTTTGTTTGTTTGGTTGGTTGGTTGGTTGTAAGTTCTAAGGCTACCTACCTACCAATGACCCAGGGTGTGGAGGTAAGGATGGTTAGAGGATTAAAACCAGTTAATAACAATAACAAAAAGTGACAACCTGAGAAAATAAACTGTGTTAATTACATTTGAAGAGAAGACTCACACATCTTCTCAGTCTAGAACCAGGTCTTTAAAGTTATCTTACAGGAGAGTAGGTCAACGCCAAAAAGACCTCATTCCCTTCAAGGAAAAAATGTCCATAACACCCTTTACTTTGTTATATACTAGACAACTCTGTGACCCATTGGGTCATCTGTTGA